GTGTTTTCATTGTAACTGATGTGCACAGCTTGCTTGACAAAATTTGACCATATTTTTGAACAGCCACCAAGCTGTGTGAGTGCTGGGCCCAAGTGTAACACTTCAGTGCAAAATATCAGTGAAATCTCTGCTTGGGGAAATCAGCATTTTCTACTCTAATTGGGTTCTAGCTCAGTGTGACTTCTGACCTGCAAGGACCACCTTTTTGCAGGCCTGGCCAACAGAGATTGGAAAGTGCATGAAGGACCAGCAGGACCAGCAAGAGTCGCTCAGGTTTAGTCGAGAAGCTGGGTCCCAGCCTGTGGAGCAGCAGCTCTGCCTTTAGGTGCACAGCCAGCAGACCTCTCAAGATGCTGGTCTCAAAACGCCAAGTGTGCAAAATGAGGACTAAGCATTGCAAAGAGCAGCTCTGCAATATAGAGCAATGGTACATTATACGGTGATGGCCAAGGCCAAGAGAAAGCACCAGCAAGCTTGGGCAAGGGCTAGGGAAAGAGCTAATGCTCCAGAGAGGTGAAGCTATTCTAAAATGCTCCAACACAGACAGTGAAGATTTTTTAGGGCAGATGGAAGTTTGGACTGTGTTATTTCATTCCTTTTATTCATGATGCATTTCTAAAAAATGCTCAGCAACAAGTATCCTATACTGTTTCTCCCTGCTTGAAACTGCTTTATGTAAGCTATCTTTAATTAAAACAAGCTTTTTCATGTGTCCACAATTGATTCCTTAAAATATTAATATTTTCCCCTACATTGGGTATCATAGCCATTACTTTTTCCTGTGTATCCTTTAACTATATTTAAATAATTCATTTATCCATTTTCCAGCCCTCGGGGAGACTTGGGGTTTCTTTTACACCATGTGATCCCATTTAAAACAGAGGTTATTTCCTCTTCCTAAAGTTATAGGACATTTTCTATCTTTCTAGTGTTTACTAGGCATAAGAAATCAGTTAGCAACCATTTTATTAAGACACAAATGTAGCATGGAAATATGTGTCTGCCTGTGTATAAATGCCCTTTCCACTGCTCATCAATCTTTTACTAATTAGAAAGACAAAAATATTTTAAAACCAATTAATGTCACTGAGAAACATTCCAGTAATTCTCAAAATACAATGTAACCATGATAGATACATTTCAATTATTTCAAAGTGTGTTCGCAGAGCACTGAGTAAGCATAAGGGAAAAGAAGAGGCTAAAAGCTGCACTGCTTGGCTGATGAATCTCTGACATAGGATGTGGATTAAGGTTTAAGTGAGACCAGCAGTTCACATTCTCCCTCAAAAAGCCCCTGAGTCACCTGATCAAAGTGCAACCTTGACAAATATGCACAGCGTTGTCTCTCACAGTTGGAATCACCAAAGAGGCTAAAAACAGCACCGTGCACTGCATAATCTCTAACCTCAGGGGACAACAAAAACAGAGAATTGCTGTGTCAATCTCATTTCCTTGTTAGGCTCATTATCATAAATGCGGGCCTTTGGTTTTGAATGCTACACTTCAATAAGATTTACCTATCAACAGCTGCCGAAATATTGAATTCCACAGTCATCTTTTCCTTTTGATGCTTTCCCTTTTGTTTCTTTATCCATAAACATGAGCAACTGAGCTAAGCTTAAATTAACTAGCCGGGGTTAAATGTTTAGGGCAGCAAATTATGGCTAGCCTGCCTGCAGAGTGGTTTAGATTACAGAGGAGAGTTGCCAATCTCAGCTCTCATCCTACACTCCAAATGTGCAGAGCAATATTGGCAGTTCATGGCCAAATCCTACATGCTTTAGCTATCACAGGAGCACTGCTCCCATGAATAAGTGGAGCAAGATTTAGCCCCTGCTCGGAAGATAGGGATGAATCACACTTTTATTCTTTGAGTACCTCACAGTACCTTCAGCACAGACATGTTCAGTGATTGATGGCCTGTGTCTAGATTGGGCATTTTTCTATACACTGACAAATATTCTCTTTGCTATGATTTCTAGGAGCAGAGGAGTGTATACTGCAGCAATGTTGGGTTTCTTGTTTTTCATTGTGCCTGTTGTCTTTGTTTTGATTAGGTTTTTTACCGAGGGTCAGTTACTTCCCATCATTTTTCCACTTAGAGTGCACTGCAATAATCCTGTTACAGATCCCCAGCCCTTAGTGTCAGTGAAACAGTGAAAACTTGAATCAGTAAACAGGTAGGGAAAGACACAACCTTCTCTTCAGGGTCAACTCCCAAGTCATGCCACAGTCTAAGGGAAATGAAGGTGTTTGGCTTTCTGAAAATGAGCTGCTGATATCAGCTAAGAGTTTTGGGTTTTTTAGTTTATCAAGGTAAAGGCTATGTGTTAACTGTTTTCATCCAGTGTGCAACCAATCTGGGTCTGCAATTCAGAGTTAAATGTTTGGTTAATAATAATTTCATGACTACACGCTGAGACCACAGGGGAGCAGTAGGCTGTGCCACAGGGAGCAGCCATGGAAAAGGGCAGCCCAAAATGCTCACAGCAGATACAGCAGCATCTTCCCATACTTTGAGACCATCACTTCACCAGCCTGCCTCTTTGCCAGTCCAGGGCCATGTTCCTCCACTCCAAAGGCACGTAGTCCTCCTGCAAGAGTGGCTGCATGTCTGTACAGAGCTCAGGAGCAAAATGGGGTTTCCTTATAAAAGGGCATTCCACAAAGGAAAAGGTGGGACCACCAGGGTTAAACACTTTTATATCACAGGACTGACCTGCAGGGACCCATCAGATTAGGCACAAAGCACAGTCTTTTGGCCACAACACCAGAGTCCCTCATCTGAAACTCAGGGAAAAACATAAAAGGAAAGGTGGGGAGACATCCACAGATTTTTTAGGTATACATACCCAAAAGAATTGCTGAGAGCAAACCAGGGGAAAAGCCAAGCTTTCCTAAAAGCAACTGAAATGATATTTTGGTAGTGATGGGCACTATCAAAAACCTCAGCAGAAAGAAATTCAGTGCATATTCCATTTTCCTCACAGATGAGGTCCCCACATCATTTCAGCGGCTTTGAGCCCCATTAACTCCAAACTTGCTTCTCTCTTCCTGTCCCTGGAGAGCCAGCATCTGCCCAGTGATCTGCCTGGACCCTGGCAGAGAGCAGCTTGGAGGACATGACCTGTCACCCCTGGTTTTCTCTGTCTGTACAAGGCTCATGTTAGGCAAGGATTGTTCCTTCCACAAGGAGCTCAGGGGTAGGCATCTACACCAAAGAGCAGTGAACTCTATGAATGTAGTTGCCACCTGAGAAAGTAATTGTGGGCTGTTTATTTGAATATAACTTTTAGCAGCCTAATACTAACCTTATACAATTTTAGTACTGACCTCCAATAGCTGCTGTGGCAGAGGCAAGTTAGATGAGACAAGGTAGAGGACATATTTAATTTCTGAGTGGGAACAGTTTCTCTCACACATATTTCCAGTCTTTATTTTGCATTATTACCTAACAATTTTCTTTTCTTTTCTTTTTTTTTTTTTCTAAACACAAGTGATCAGACTCAAGCAGGAAACAAAGAGACTTATGATTGATTTTGCTTAGGTAAAACAGCGATTTCTATCACACTAGCCTTTACTTGATGCTTTTGGCTGCTACAAGGAATTGATTTACTCTACTTGTCATAAAAATCAAAACCAAAGCCACCGCAGCTCCTGGTACACCCTGCATGAAAAGAATGCCTGGATTGCAGAACTTAATTCCACTTTTCTGCAGTAGATGGGCAGGAGTTAATTACCATCAGCAAAGAGTTGCATTTCATTACCAGTAAACCCTACTCTGACTAAATAAAAAAAGCTGAAATGAGAGAGTGATGACCACAATAAGTGGCCAAAATTCCACGGGATGAGAGGAATGATTTCCCACTGCCGACACTTAAATACAGCTAAGGTATTCTGCAATTTTACTTCCACAAGCCAGAGGGTTTATTGTAATCCTGATAAATTATAGCAACAGAAGCAGGCGAGAAGTGGGACAGAAGAAGGGAAATGGTAATGCAAAATATAAAATTGCTTGGCAGAAAAGAATGGAGAGAGCAAGCGAGCAGTTTGTTATCGTTTATTTTTCTTCAACATATCATTCGGTTTCAGCTGTCTCCCATCTCACCCAGATCTCCACCATTTCTCAGAAACGTCTTTCGATGGCATCTCATTCTCCTCCTGTCTTTCACCATCGCTTCATTATTTCTTAACTGTCCCTGAAAGGGCCGGGCAGGCGACAGCGGGAAAGTGAGCCGGGGACGCGGGACCAGCCTGCGCCCCACGCGTCCGCCGCATTTAAGCCGTTTGCAAAAAGCGGGCGGGGGGCGTTGCAAATAATGTTTAATGTGATTAATCTCCCGGATTCCTGGAAATCTGACATGCATGAGTTACAGCGAAACCTCTTTTATTTCGCCATGAAATGCTTTTGCATAATGAGAAAGAAAATGTCCTCTGTGCCCTAATCAACTCTGACAGGTCCTGGACTCCCAAATACTTTTATTTACGGCATTATTTATTTCACCCCTGATAACCGGGGAGGCGGGCCCGCGGCTCGCTCCGTGCGGGGAGAGGAGGGGAGGGAGGGAGGGATGCCCGGCGGGCGGCGGGGCTTCGCGCCCGCCCGAGGGGACACAAAGTTTTCGCGGGGCCGTCGCTCGGCGGGGCGGGCCGGTCTCGTAGCCCGCGGCCCCCTCGGGCCGGGCGGGCCGGGCGGCGGCAGGGGGGGGCCCGGAGCCGCTCGTCCCCTCCGGCAGCTCACCTGCCCCCGGGGGGGTGCCGGGGGCGGCGGCGGCCCCGCCAGCGCCCGCCTCCCCGCCCCGCTGCCATTAGCAGAGATTACCCTAAACACTTGCCGGTCGCCGCCCGTCTCCCTCCAGGCATTGGCGCGGCCGCCTGTCAATCAGGCCGGCGCCCCGCCGCGCCGGGGCTCCGCCGTGCCACAGAGACGAGCCGCGGCGGCGGTAGACACAGCCCCGGAGCGGGGCCGCGCCGCGCCGCGCCGGGGGAGGCGGCGGAGGATGGAGGAGGAGATGCAGCCGGCGGAGGAGGGGCCCAGCACCCCTAAAATCTACAAGCAGCGGGGTCCCTACAGCGTCCTGAAGACCTTCCCCGGGAAGCGGGCGGCGCTGGCCAAGCGCTATGAGAGACCCACCATGGTGGAGGTGCCCCGCGGGCGCGGAGCGGGGCAGCCCTTCCCGCACGCCGCCGAGCCGCTGCCCTACGCGCCGCACGGCCCCTTCCCCAACGGGCCCGCCCGCCCCGGCGCTGCCCCCGGCGCTGCCCAGGGCCACCCCCGCCCGCCGCCGCCGGCCCCGAGCTCCTCGGGCCGCTACGGCCCCTGCCCGGCGGTGGCGGGGGGCGGCGGCGCGGAGCTGAGCGCAGGTATCCGCAACTCCTCTCTCTCCTCCGCGCAACTTCGCGGGGCACTTTGCAGCAGGCGGGAGCGGGATGGGGGCTGCGGGCTCCGCCGCCGACGCGCGCACCCCTCTCCCGGGCGGCTGGCGGAGGGCGCGACGCCCGCGGGGTGCCCCCCTCGGGGCTGGCGGCGCCCCGGGGCTGGATGCGGGCGGGGACGCGCCGGGCGGCTGGGTCTGTCCGGTGCTCGGGCAGCGCCGAAGTTCCCGCGGCGGGCGGGGCCGCTGCCCGGCCGGCGTCGCCCCGGGGCGGTGGGCAGGGGTCGCCCCGGCCGGGGCTGTGCCGGCCGCCGCGCAGGACTTGGCGGGGCAGGCGGCGCCGCCGGTGCGCACCTGCGGGAGGGAGCTGCTGCCGCCGGCGGGGCGGACGGGGGGAGCCCCGGGCCGGCCGCTCCGCTCCGCTCAGCTCAGCTCAGCCCCGCTCCGCTCCGCCGGGGAGGGCGGCAGGCTGGGGCCGGCTACCGGGGGAGCTGCTGGTAATGGAGAGGCTGCTGATAGAGAGGTGGTGATTTTAACAGAAAGAAAATAGATCGGCTGCTTGCCTGCACCGTTTTCATAAGATGCAGTGACAAACAGGAGATCAATTTTTCTTTTCTTTTTTTTTTTTTTCTTTAAAGGTGTAAGATACCGAGATGCTGAACGCGTATCTTTCCTCTAGTGATGGCTTGGAGTTAAAAAACCACGTAGATCTTGATATGCAACCTAAATTTGGCATCAGGAAATGGGAAATTGCATCTTTAAGCAGAGTACAATCAAAAATGAATTACAATAAATCCTATATAATTGCATAGGTCATTCTCTTTAATGAGATTTTATTAACCTGACTGTCAAGCTTTTGAGTCAGGCAGATATTTTATCTTCTTCAACTGATAAAAGTGTCAGCTATAAACCACCATATAAATATTCATAAATCTACACATCTGTGGCAGCCTATCAGCATCATTCTTTTGGACATTAAAAGCATTCTAATTACTTTCTGTCTAGCAGAGCTGAAATGCTGCCTGTTATAGTATGTGCTTGGCAGGCATGATTGCTTTTGTTTGCCATCACAAATAGCAGCATCCTATTTTATATACTGATGGTCCAGAATATATTCAGGGTTTGACTGAACAGGATGAATATTATGAAGCACCATCTGGTTTTGATAACATCGGGTATATTAACTCATCTGTTAATTTTTGACACATCATTGATTTATTTATTTAGAAAAATTGGATCCTGTTTTGGTATGTTGCTGTTTGCCTTTGTAACAAATGTGATGACATTTCCTTACTAAACAGGGAGATACTCTAGTTAATAGGATATATGGCTACGTTTTAGTGCCTGGTTTTGCTTAGAAGTAGCCTTGTACTGGATGAATTTAGCATGTCTTGTTACAAATAATTCAAGTACTTTACCAAAAAGTTTAACTCTTGAATAGATTAGTCAGAGAATTCACATCTCTGGGGCGTAGTTCTGTGATCCGTGGCAGAAGGTCATCTTTCTTTATGAAATTGCTTCTTATATGAAATGCCCAAATGGTGGTATTTAAGTATTCTTTGTGGCCCACGATCAAAACACTGATGATAAATATGACACCTACATTTCTTTACAGAAGCAGATTATGCCATGGAAAACATTCACCTGTCTGGTAGATGATATATGAGGCCATATTCACAGCAAAGCCCTCTGGGCTTCGATGAGCAGAAGTTTGGACTTTCTTTTTCCTGAGTACATTGTGCTAACCAGGCACTAGAGCAGGCTTCAGAGCTTGTCTTTGATTTAGTTCTATGCTAAAGAGAGTGAAGGAACTGCCATTTGTGCACCAAAGTTCTTTGAAATCTCTCCCTTTAACTGCACAGTCAGGCTTTACTTTAGGTTCCTATATGGGTCCCAACTTACCCTTTGCTCAGGTAAGTGCCGAGAGAAACAGAACAGAAAAGAAACCAGAAACTTGCTACGGAGTGTACAAGTAGTATTTTGCACAAGTTGTTACCAGAGGTGGCCCACAAAGTTGGAAAGGGGACTGGAGCAGGTCCCTATGAAGACAAGCAGAGAAAGTGAGGGCTGTTCAGCCTGGGTAAGAGAAGGCTGCGTGGAGACCTCATAGCAGCCTTCCAGTATCTTAGGAGAGCCCACAAAGAAGCTTTAGAGGGACTCTTCAAGAGGAACTGAAGCAACAGGACAAGGAGTAATAGGTTCAAACTGAAAGATGGGCAATTTAGGTTCGATATGTGGAAAAACATTTTTACTGTGAGGCTGATGAGGCACTGGAACAGGTTGCTGTGGATGCCCCAACCCTGGTTTAAGGCCAAGTTGGATGGGTCTTTGAGTAACCAGGTCTAGTGGAAGTATCTCTGCCCACAGCAAAGGGTGTGGAACTAGATGAACTTTAAGGTCCCTTCCAAGGCAAAACATTCTGTGATTCTATAAAGGAATAGGCAAGGTTTAGATCTCCTGGGTATTTTAATCCCAAAGGTAGGAATGCTTTGCTGAGCTGTGTGCTCATCCTTCCTGCTTGGGGATGAAGTAACACCATGCAGCTTGTTCTTGAGAGCTATAGCACCACTAGGATGAGCAGGAAGTTGGGACCCCAGTGCTGTATGTATGTGAAGAAGTCCCATTGTCCAGAGGCTTGAAATCCTCTTAACTAATGTGTGAGCCAATTTAATAGCACAGGCCGCCTCTGGGGAAGCAGAGTTGTGGTTTTGGCCCTGGAGAGTGACAGTATTTGCATGTTGTGCATGCACAGTCACCCTTGTACTTTGGCCAGCACCTGTGGTGTCTCTGGGCTCCCCACAGCAGCAAGAGGAACAGGCTCAGAACACCTCTTAGCCACAGGTTCATCTCAAGTGGTGGGTGTTGTAGGGAGGGACAGATCATCCCCTTAGCAGGTGTCCGGCTGCACGTGCATTCTCCACAAGGCAGTCACCATCCACAATGTGTACAGTTTTCCCACTTGATTTATCCTCAGCACTTGGCAGGTGCTTACTTGAATAAAGGGGTGGAGTGCTGTAGGGCAGTTTTGTAGGGATGCCCACGTCCCAAGTTCAGTTTCAGAGATACCCCTCTTTTTGCCGATACCTTTTCACTTGTTCAGGCAACAGTGAGCAAATAGCTAGTAAAACACCACTCCTGGGGTGCCTGACTCTGTGCCAGCAACTTAAACACTTAGTGCAGTTGATTCTTAAACTTCAGGCATGCCATTTCTGGCCCTTTGGGATTCACAACTCCAAGTTTGCTGTTGAAAGTGGGCACCTCAAACACAGTCATGACTAAAGATGCTTCCATATTTTTGCAGCTTTTTCTAATGGTTAAAACTCTTCCCAAGGGTTCACAGATTTTCCCTCAGTTGCTCTCTAACAGACCACTCTCACCTCCAGACTCCAGCAGAATTGCAGGAAGAGGGGTTAGGGAAAGGAAGAAAACCAGGAATTCTCCACGCAGTACCATGGTGGAGAAAAATTTAGCTTGAGATCCCATCATGCAGGGAAAGATCCTGCGTGAGAAATGCCATCTTACAATGAGAAATGTGAAGCTGCGCTGCAACACAATCCTTCTCTCTCCTCTAGAGGTTACTCTGGCTGCTGTTGCTGCTGTGAGCCACACAGATGGATTCATTCAAAGCTCCAGCAGATACCCGTTTTCTTCTGTAAAATATCAATTCTTTATTAATCTATCCAGATTATTTTCCTGGCATGAAAACTCTGTCTTTGGTAGTATGTGCATTGAACAGTACCATAATCCACCAAAGTCCTTTTCCTTAGGAAAGCATGATATGGCATGCCTTACAGTGCAGCTTAAAATTTAGGGTGGGCTTTCATGGAAAGCAGAGGAAGAAGAGCAGAGCTGGTAACACCTGTTAGCAGTGCCAAAAACATGGCATATTTAAAATGACCAGTTAATAAAGCTCTGTTATGCCCAGACAGAAAAATAGTTTGTTCTATGAAAAGCGAAGATGAAGTTCAGTGTTTTGACCTTACCTTAGAAATTGTGAGCCCTCATCTGAAAGCAGATCTCTCAGATAAGTACTGAAATGACCAGACATTTGCAGTCTTAATCCACTGTACTGTCTCAATGATCTTCATGCAAAATGCCCAAGAAAACATTGTGTAGTCATAGGAGGTGTCAAATGCTCTCAATATTGTGACGTAAGCACAGATATTTACAGCAGTGGTCATATCTGAAAACATGACCCCAAGTCTCTATGCTTGGATAAAGGCCCAGTTTGAGGGGTGCAAGGCTGTAGCCCCAGGATCTCAATTAATCAAAATATTGTAATAAACAAATCAAGAAACACAAATAATCAGGTGAGAGGGCTGAGTCACTGCAAGGTGAAGAGTGAGACGATTGGAATTGCTAAGGAGCCTGAACGTCACAATCTCACTGAAAATTAAATATCAAAGAATACATTCCCTGCACGGGAGAGTGTATGGTATTCAGACCCACTCAATACTTAAAAAGATGACTTTTTAAACCAGCTGCCCAAGAATACAAAGGAAACTTCGGAAAAGCCACAACCTGAATTGAGATCCACTGAGACCCAACACAATGCTTATTAATAAAGCTGTCTGATCTAAGCATTGAAAAGACCCTTAGGTGTGGGAAAAGCTGAAGTTATACCTGCCAAATCTTCCAGACATCTTTTCTGATGCATTAGTTAGTGTAAGTTATCAGACTGAGTTTCAGACATTCACTCTTCCTAAACCCTGTTTTCTGGTGGTTGAATAGACAAGAACCTCCCCTAGTCCCAGAGTCAATGAGAAAATGATGTAAAGATGAATGCTGTTTCTGGGAGTTGGTACCTGATTTGCCATGTGGTAGTATCTTCTGGTTGCTTGCAATCTCAAACAATCTAGTTAGAAATACTTATGCTTTTAGCATTTTAATCCTGTTCTCTTAGCACTTTATGGGTCTTAGGCAGCAAGTCTACCTCCAGGCAAATGTCTAGTTAAAGTCGATAGAAGTTCTGTAAGACTAAAGACTCTGGGGTCTGAGACATTAGAATTACATGGTTGGTGAGCAAGGTAATAAGGAAAAGGAATATCACAATAAGACTTTAATAAACTGCTTACACTGTTTTAGTCCAGTGCAGTGATTTCACTAGAATCCTACTTTCATAGAAAATACATACATTATATTAAATCAATTAAGAATCATAGATTGGTGTTTATTCAGTAGTAATCACATAAAAACAACTTTTTGTCATTTCTTAAGTGATTAGCCATTGCACAGTGCTTGCATTTCTAATTATAGTCAGTCTGTAAAAGCTGAAATCCCAGTTTCTACAACGTATGCTAAATGGGCAACATTTTTTTTTTCTCTATCATAAGAAATAACTGCAGTTACCATTCTCATTTAGGGTTGTTCAGACTGTGGCTGTGTGCACCATTACTGGTGTAGAAGTCTCTTCAAAGCAGAACCTACTTCAGCACAGAGACGGATATTTCCAGAATATGTGCTGAGAGCATCCCTCACTATTGCTGTCCAGCAGTACCCAGAAAAAATGCATTTGTGCATCTCTGGGTTAGCCTTTCAAATGATCCCTGCTTTGTCATGGCTCATTTTTATGTCTTTGTGTATGGGTTGAAGTTAAGAAAAAAAAAACAGTAATTGCTGTTATTGTGTCTTTGTAATAGATCTGATACTGAAGATTAAATCAATAATGTCATTTCTGTATAAAATTTCACTTACATTTTAAACCATTATCACGGTGAATATGCCTAATGCATTAAATTTTAAAACAAAACTAATAATTAATTTAATCTTTACTGATATTAATGTGTATTTTGGCATTCTTCAAAACTAATAATTTGAATGTCAGGTTACTTTTTGCTAGTTTTAGAATAAACCATAATATTGGAGTAACATCTCTTTTAAGAGTGTAATCCCTTTTCAGTTGTTTCATTCCTATCTTGTCCCCATGCAACAAGGATATGGAAAGAATACGTAACTGTTTTGTGAACAGAGACAATAATGATTAAAATACAAACAGTATAGATGACTTCAGGACTGGAATCAGATTATAGGATTAAAATGAATGAAAAAAACATTCTGTAGTAGGATTGCAAAGTTACAGTCAATATCATCCTGTAAGAATTTTAAAGGGGAAATGTGGAAAGAAGTAAGACAAAGAAAGCACATCTTGGGGTTGTTAGTGATGCTTGAATTTCCTGACTTCCTTCTGGTTTATCAGGTCTCAGCTGGAAAGCTGCCATGTCACCAGGATTCTGTGCTTTTCATTCATATTACATCTCCTGTGTTGTTTTGCAGTTGCATTGATTGTAAGGGTTAAAGACAGCTGGTCTTTGGTTAGTGTAGGAATGAAGGAGAGGCAGTGGTGATGGACCTGGCACCTCATTGTCACCCACTTGCAAAGGGAGCAGCAGTGCCTGTGCATTTCTGCCCTTTGGAGCTGTAGTGTGGACAGAGGGTATTGCATAAAGCTTTGGATCTAAGATGTGTTGTAGAAATCTGCCTTCATTAGTTTGAACCTGTGTCCAGGAGTGTGATATGGCTCATAAACACAGGAGGCTGATGGTGAGGATGCTTGCAGTGGTCCTAAGGCCACTCCAGTCCTTCCCATGGAGCCCCTGGACAATCCCTGCATGGCCCCAGGCAGCCCACCTCAGGTTCCTGTTTTTTCAGTTCAGTCCTCAGGAGATCACATCAGAGTTGTGTGCTGGGGAGGTGTCCTCTAGCTGCATTTGAGACTGAAAGTATTTGTATGCTGCTTCAGCCCTGCCCTCTTTGCAGAGATCTGGAGGATGGTACAAATGCAAATTAGTGTTGTTTCAAATATTCTTCAGGTCAGCTGTACTGACCTCAGTGTAAAGTAGATTTTCCACCAGAAAGTGAAGAATCTTGAAGAAGTGCTGTGAAAAGTGCCACCCCTTTAAGCCCTGAATTCTGAACATTTCTGGTTTTTGTGTATTATGAGTGTGATGAGGCTACTGATGAAGTTTCAGTAAATGAAGATCTGGGGTGCTTAGTCTCATGTATCTGTAGCAGGTTGCCTTTTCAGAAGTAAATGCGTTTGTCATTTTCTAAAAGTCAAGCCTGCCTGAGAAGTGCTCTCCAAAATTGGCAGTGCTTTAGCCTACCAGCCTCTTTTTTCTTTTGCAAAATGTTAGTTACGTCTGTTTAGATACCTAGAGGAACTTAGCTTTGAATAAGGTAAAAAAGATTTAAAAGGCACTGTTTTTACTGGGGAGCCTAACAGGTTGTATCATAAATATCTTGGTCATTTTCTATCTGGGTGCAGGAAGTATTATAGCAGCTTGAGCTGCACATGTAGACATTGCAGAAATGAGGCATCCTACTCCGTAGGTTTAGCTTGTAGCTGCTATTGCTCCCTGAGACATGACACCTCCTGTCATGAGAGGAAAGCTGACTAGGTGCAGCACGGCATCCCTATCCTAATTCCAGAGCTGAGCTGCTGTCTCCAGAAACTGCTGCACAATGCTATGCAGAGTTTCCTGATTGTGCGCAGAGCATCTTGAAGAACTCCACTCTCCACTGTGCCATACTGGCCTGCCTGCAATCCTGTAGGATGCCTTTGCTTGATTTAAGAAGAAGGGTTTGTGCTTATCACTGTGAGTAGTTCCTGGACATATCTGGAACCTAGAGCAAAAGGAGCAGAAGCAAAGTCCATTAAATTGAGGGTCAGTTGTGTGGACTGTCTTGTGCCCAATGTCAAACAAATGCATCAAAGACAAAAAGGAGAAATAACAAAGCTTGGAAGTCTTGTTGGAGAGGAACTGGGCATAGGACAAAGGTATAGTGCAAAGTCCTGTCCTACAAATATGTACAGTTAATGCCCTCCAGCAGCTTGAAATAGGCTTTCAGGGCAGTACTTACTTGAACTTGTAGCAAATTGGATGTAATTTGTATTTTCTTCCCCATTTTCCTGACTTAATCCCTCTGAAAGAAGATGTCAGTAAGCAGTGTCTATCATCACAATGCATTTCTGATTAACAGCAAGGGCACAAGGGCACTCTCAAAATAGAAACAGAGTCAGGATTGTTTTAAATCACAGTGTTGCAGAAGTATTAAAGCAGAAGCCATCATCTTAATATGTTCAGAAATAAAATGCATGCTACTGTAAACAGTTGTGTACATTCATCTAGCTGCTACTGCCTGGCATAACCTCTTGCATTAGGTTTCTGTGATTCGTCTTTTCTTTTGTTGCAGAGAGTCGAATGATTCTGGATGCCTTTGCTCAACAATGCAGCCGGGTTCTAAGTCTCTTAAATTGTGGTGGAAAACTACTGGACAACAATCACTCTCAGTCCATGATTTCTTGTATAAAGCAGGAAAACCCAAATTATAGTGAAAGACAAGAGCAATGTCAGCTCGGGAAAATGGTCCATAGTCAGACGTCAGACATTTTAGACATAGAGATGCAGTATATGCAAAAGAAACAACAAACCTCAGCCTTTCTGAGAGTTTTTACTGATTCCCTTCAGAACTATTTGCTTTCTGGGAGCTTCCCTTCTCAGAACACCTCATCAATAAATGATTTTAGCCATTTGGCAGATGTGGATCCACTTTCAGCCTCTCCAGTACACACTTTAGGTGGATGGACATCTCCAGCAACATCGGAATCTCATGGTCATCCATCATCTTCTACACTTCCAGAGGAGGAAGAGGAGGAAGAGGAAGAAGGTTACTGCCCTCGGTGTCAAGAGCTAGAGCAGGAGGTAATTTCATTGCAACAAGAGAATGAAGAGCTTCGTAGAAAGTTGGAGAGCATTCCAGGTAAATAATCCTTTGCCATGTAATGTTGCCATTCAGTGATAAAAGTAATGTGGGTAATGGTTTATTTCTAGTTCTACTCATTTTTAAAGGTTGCAATCATAATAGTCAAACACTGGAATTTGTCTCCAGCCAAAATTCCTATAGGTGTGCCCAGTGGGAAATTACCTGCTGATACTCATCTCTATGAATATTGAGTCCTACACTAGTAAAGTGTGTTTAGGTGGGGATGTACTTGTAATCCCAAATTCCGAATATCAGGTGGTTTGTCTCAGTAATTTCAAACATACGCTTTCATAACTCTTTATCTGTCTTGTTCTTTAATTGACAGTACAGCTTATAAACATAATTCCCTTTTGGGGCTCCTTTTTTTGGTTACTTAAGGAAGCTGTTCAAAGTTACAGCCATAGTTTTACCTGAAATAATTTTGGCTTTTACTTTCAACAGCTTCTCTTAAATTGCTGCTAGCTTAGTGAGAAGCATTGGTACATCTCCTCCCATTCATCTTCAAATAAATCTGAAAAAAAAAAACCAAAACCTGACAACAACTTTTCCAGTTTAGCATCTGGAAGCCACTAGGAGAGAGAAAGAAATCAAATAGAACCCCTTTTTGTGAAAAGCTTCTCTTGCTCTTTAAACCTAGGATTTCTCACTGTTCAGGTGAGCCAAGATACTTGAAGAGTGTTATGGGATAAGAACGAAGTATCTTGGATCTGTATTTTCTAAACTTTCAGCACAGGCAAAAATACACCTCAAACAGTAATACTAAAAGCAAACTGAAATTTAGCAAAGAAAGAAGCATACAACATGCTTTGGACATGTATAAACACTAGGGAACTGCACCTTTTTTACCTGAACTCAAGGTGTTTAGGGTAGATTTAATTTAACTGATCTCTAAATGGCAGAAAAGCATGTCTAGTACAGCATGATCTGCAAGAGAGAAAATACTTCAAAGATGCTAACTATGCAGAAAGGAAGAAGGCAGTAACCAACCACTGCCCCAACATGTAGAGGCAGTTGCAAAATCTGAGCAAAATGCAAGCAGTAGTCTTCATAATTCTTCTCTCCAGGTATCAGTGATGGACTGTGCATTATTTTTCTTTTGTGCATTGGTCCATAGGGATACTGACAAATCCCATAAGCAGCATTGTTCAGTGCAAAGAAAACCCAAAATTTAAAGTAACTCCCTCACCTCTCCCAAAAATATAGAGTTACCATAACTCATGCACTCTCACTGGTTTCAGCAGTGGTTAGTACATCATCTGGTATTGCATGACAAAGGGAATTGTGTGGACTTCAACTCCTGTGGAGTCCTGCCTTCAGGTGTAAGGCCAGAAATGGTCCTGTAGGGTCTGCAGTCTGACTGACAGCTCTCATTCAGTCACCTGTACTGAACACAGTATTTTTTTTTTTTACTTTCACTAATGCATAACATGTATTTGACTCAAGTAGTATCTCGGAAGGCCTCCAGCCTCTGGTGAGCAGTGGCTGTATCTCTTACCTGACATTTGGCTCCAGTGCTTAATTACCCTGATGAAAATATGTGCCTTGTTCCCTTCCTGACTACCTGAAATCAGCTTTTAGCCATTGACTTTTATGCTTTGCTCCACTAAATGAAGTGCTCTATAGGTCTTGGTACTTCTTCTGATTGAAGGTACTTACAGACTGAAAGCTGACTTAATTTCCATTTTAAATAAACAAAGCAAACAGTACTGTTTGAAACTCCTCAAATTACTTGAATCCGTCTTTGCAATTTTTTTCTCCCCTTCTGCTAATTTCTTTAAAATCTGGGCACTGGAAGTGCATGCAATGTGTTCCTGTGAGCCTGATCAAAGGTGAATAGACTCTTCACTTGCACCCATGGTTTCCCTGGTGGGTTGTGCAGCTGAGCTTCTCATTCTGTGCATATTTCTTCCTAAAAGTGCACACTTTGTATTTGTCTGTGTTCATGTACTAAGTGTTCCAGATTGCTCTGACTGTCCCACTTGCCCACTGTTTGCTGATTTATCAATTTCTGTATCATCCAATATTTTTCAAATTGTTTTAAATTAACTTTGTGATACTTGTTAGGAATGTTGAATAGTTTTGAAGGTGTTGTTGGTCCTTGTTGGGCCTTTCTAGAAACCTGTCTATTAATGATGATTCCTGCAATGACAAATATTTGAGATGTCAATAGCAGGTTCCTAATATATGTATGATTTGGTCTGCTGGTGTTGAGTGTTGCTACTTTTGCAATCAACTAACTCAGGGTAGTAAGTTACATGCCCTTCAGGAGTCTAGGTATCTTATATTGTTCAGCCCAACTTTTATAGGCAAATCTATGTGCTTATCAAAGAATGACAGGTTAGTCTGGCAAGATCGACTTTCCATAAGACCATTTTGACTGGAATTAATTATATTCATATTCTTTAGTTCTTTGTCATTTGAATCCCCTTGTGATTGCCTGTATTTTGCTAGGATTAATGCTGGGTTAAGCAGCAAGTATTTACCTGTGTCATCCCACTTACCCTTCATGTCCCTTTAAAAGTGATAAACATGCATAATCATAGTCATTTTGCACCCCCCAGGAATCATGAAACTCCTTGTTAACAGTGTATCAAAGGAAGCAGACAAACATAAAAGATGTGCCAGGAGGTAGGACTTCATCTGCCAACAGAAAATCATCATCAGATACGTCTGCTGCTTTCTGGTGACATTCCCAAATAGATCTGAAGTGACCCGTGTGTTTGCAGAAGTGCTAAGAGCCACAGAAGGTCCCTCAGGTTTTGCCACATGGTAGAACAGAGACCCTTAGGCAGTCACACAGCCACCAATGAGCAAAGTTAATAAAAAATCAACTAAAGGCAATGTCTAATTATTTTTGTCTCTAGTGTTCATTTTGCTCCTGTGAGCTTCTACTAGCGAAAAAGCTGGCAGAAATTTTTCTGTGACTTGAGATGCCCAGCTCTGTATGTAAATAGGAGCTTGCTCTCTGTGCCTTTTTTTTTTTTTTTTTTTTGCCCATCGAGAGGTTGCATGCCTCCCGAGGGAGGCAGAAAGCCCTCTGCAGCAGAGTGTCAGTGTTGTCTGCCACCATCTATCACATCACAGTAATCTCAGAGCACAAACTTTCTTCCCTGTGCGTTCGTGCACCTCGTGCTGGCCATCCGCCGGGCCAGGCAAGGCAGTGAGCGTTTGGAGAGGCAGCCAAGGCAGCAGCTAGATGGGTGTGAGGGTTGCCATGCTGTCTCCATCGAGCCACTGAATGAGCAGGATATTTCACATAGTGGTTTCTCTTCCCATCCTTGGGGGAGCTGGTCCAGAGCTGCTGGATGCGGCTGGCAGGGGATGTGGGACCATGGCAGCGTGCACCATGCCCTCCCCGCAGTCGCTGAGGCTCCCACTAGCAACTCTGCCAGCAGAATGTAAAAGCAGCAACCCCTCCCTTCTGCTGTATAATATGAATCATTTTATCCTTCTCCTGAAATACTTTGCATTTCTTTTTTTTACTTTCCATATGCAAAAGCCCTTTTAAAATCCATGAGAGTTTGCAATCTAAAAATAGTTGCCGCTATACATCTCTGCCTCAAGCTTTGCAAAGCAAGGCTCACAAAGAGACTACCACGAAAAAGAGTGTTTTCTCTGCAGATGTAAAGGCAATGACAGTTTTTTCTTTTTTAACAAATATTACAGAAGACATATTCTCCTGTAGCTTTTGGACACAGAAAATAAGATTTTTCAGTTTGCAGGACTCTGCCCTGTTGCTGCAGAACCCTTCAGTTCTGTAGGATCTTTTTGCCTGTAGCCTAGCATCACTCTGGCAAATCACCGCTGGAGAGAAACGATTACATGGATAAAATATCCCATATATTTTGGTTGCTGGATGGGTAGATTTTTTTTTTCTCAAAAAAACTCCATTGGATTTGACTGAAACTATACTTACATTTGTATGAAAACTTAATTGTTCCAGCTGTAGAATAAATGAAGAAAAAAATCATATTCCAGTGCTTGGGGTTTAAAGCAGTGCAACTTCTTTCAACTTGTCCAGTTTTCCCAATATTTATTTGTTTTAGGGCAAAATATTAACCAAGAATTTTCAGTTTTCAATTCAACTGAACAGAAGCATTTTCATTCAGTGTGTTATCATGTCTTTTTCTGAAAAATAATTAAAGTTTAGGTAATTCCTGGAAGGAATTTGGCAAAATTATCATTGGCTCTTTAAGGTTTTGAGATCATTAAGAATAAAACAAAGTAATCCATCCACATGAGAAGAAAAGTGTCTCCTAGTTTCTTTCTTCTGTATAGAAATTACTGTGGCTGCGATACTTTCCCAGTAGTGAATCTAAAGACATATTTATGGAGCTGCATACAAGATGTGGATTTTAACTGTGAGGATATTAAACAGTTCTTCATTATTATCAGTGTGATTTTCTCACACTTTTTTATCTGAAAGGGAGAAAATATTTCCAGGTGATTGAAACAAAGGTCTATAATCATGAGTTAGGGTTTGTCTCCTGTTGCTCCCAGCTTTGCCGTGTGGTTTTGGATAAACCAATCTGAAAGCAGTGAAAAGGTATAATTTAGTAAGTATATGGAGCAGTGTGTGACAAATACAATGATTATTCTTACTTTGTTAGCCCAGCAGCAAAAAATACTCCAGCAAATAGCAGAGGGATGGAGAATGAAAACCCCCTCAAATGCTGAGTCCTGGTCACCTATAGAGACTGCATGCATGGTGGCCAAATGGAAGTAGCCAAAGCAAAGTGGGATTTGCAGGTAGAGTTAATATCAATGTAATTGAAAAGTCAAACAAGTTTTCCAGGAGGTTTTGTATGCCCAAGGCTTGACTCTTCTTCCTGACTATTGGATATAATAAAAGATATTACTTTTCCCTACAAATCCTGTCTCTTTATACTTTCAGAGCCTCATGTTTCCAAAGGGCCTACCACAGCCACAGTATAGATAAAGCAGCCATCAAGGGTTATGATGAACACTTTTTCATGTCCTTTTTTTTGTCCTTTTTC